TGGTAGTTCCCCCTTTGATGCAGTTGTTTTTGCAAGAAATATTGAAAAAATAGAACTCAAACATTTCGTATCTTACTTTAGTTATCATAATCCCATTGTAAATGTTATAGATTTGGATATTTCTCCACTCGAAAATGATAATTAAAAGATGCGATCAATTGTGAATTGTAAGCAATGTTAATAAAGTTTGTCTTAAAGAAACAATATGATTTCACTAAAAATCAATTTCTACCCCTTCCTATTTTCATTTCCACATTACGAAGTTTCACTTCTTCCGCGCGGAGGGACTCCACGCACTATTTTTTTTCCTTTCTTTTTTTTTGAAAAAAAGGGAAAAAGAAACAGTTTTTTAAAACGGACTCTAGGCTCAAATGGGTAAATAAGTGCATATTACTGCAATGAAATTATATGGTTTATCAAAAGCACATCCTCAAGTGATTGAATACCTGTCTTTGAAGTCAGAGTTGTTTCCTTCTGGATAGTAAACAATCTCACTTGTGTCTGCCGTTCCGCTGTCTGATCTCTCATCTTCTGCATCTCCATCTTCCATCTTATTACTACTGGCAGTGCTCGAATCAGTAGGATGCCGGACTCTGCCTTCAGATGCACTCTTGATTACGCTCGTCCGACTAATAGAGATCTAAAAAAAGATTTCAAAATAATCAACTCCAAGTATGAAAAATAAAACAAAATTTAGTTATAGAGTTACTTTGGTCACATTCGCAGAGACTCAAATTCAAGAGGCAAAACTACTACGGATTCTCCTTAGTTTTTAGTAGTAATATACTGCAGAAGAATTTTTTTTAAAGCAAATTGACATTTTTTCCTGATTTCTTACTTACATAATTAAATGTAATATTATTTAGGTCTTATTGAATGTAAACGATTTTTTTCTTATTCGGTGAAAAATTTAAGTGACACCTCATTAGTATTTTACAGTTTGTCTGTTTAAATATTTATATGCTCGGCCGGGCTTGTAAGGGCTAAAAATACAGTTTCCTCCCTGGTCAGACTATTGCACGGCCAGAGCGCGGTTTCATCAAACAGCGGGGCATTTAACTACCATATCCAATGCTGCCAACTTGCTCCGGACAACGGATAAATATTTTCGAGTGGTAGTCTTTTAATGTACGATTCTTGGTTTAATAAATTCGATTTACAGGGTTTTTATTCACCACTACATCTAACTAATTCATAATCTTATGAAGTATGTCACTTTGTTACAGTTAAGCAGTGTTCAGACTTTTAAAAAGTTGGCAAAATAAACCGAAAATCTGTAAATTTTAGCTTGTAGCTCCTTATTGTCTTAAAAAATATTTTGTTGAATCCGGAGCAGTTGGCATCTCTGCCATATCTCTCCTGTTTGACATTTTTTTAGATCAGATAACAAATTTTAGAAGGAGTAAAAGCTTGTATAATAATTGTGACCAACTACAACCAACCTAGATTGGAGATTGATCGTTCTCTGGTTCAGGTCAAAATTGCTGTCTGTGGATGAATGAATGTATGTATCAATGGATCCGCCTAAGGCTCCTATACTATCAGAGCTGACCTATCAAGCAATATTGGAGCAAACAAGTTCGCAAGTTAAAGTTATATTAGTTATGTTATTACAGAAATGCCAACTGCACTGGATACTCCAAAATAATTTAAAAAACGGTAAATAACTACAAAGCAAATTTTGCAAAGAGTTGACAATAATTGCTTGCTTTTTAAAATGCATACCTGCCAACTTTTAAGTCGTTCGAGGATGTTTTTCCCCACTGGTAGTAAAATTTTATTTCAATTACAATTTTAGGCAGAAGCATTTGCTGTATTTTGAGAAGGCTTAAGCGGACTGCAAAAACTGTGTTTTATATTTATATATACAATTAATTTTTTAAAAAATAGTGGTGAATCAAAAAGATTATAAATTAATTTTATTAATGCAAGAAATGTATAGAAAGCATACGTTTTACTACCACTTAAAATGTAGAAATATAATTTTACGCCAAATGCGTAAAAGTTGGCAGGTATGAAAATGTCTATAAAGTGGTGAATTATATAAGCCTACGCATTGTTTAGAAATAGTGGTGGATTTAAATCTACTAAATCGGACTTATTAAACCAAGAATTACAATTAATAAACTACCACTTGAAAATATTTATTCGCTGTGCCTATGTTAGCTCTTTGCTCCAACAATAAATGATAAGTTGGCCTGTCTAATTCAGGGGCTCTAGATCCGCCCTATAAACAGGTGTGACGTATGTGATATTACAACTGTCAATAAATTGTCAGGAATATTTTACTTATTACTAAAACTAAAAAAAAAAGAATGAAATGATTTCACTACCAGTTTTTTCTCTTTACCGAATTACAATCAGATGTGCATACCTGCCAACTTTTAATCCTTTCAAGGATGATTTTCGCCAGTGGTAGTCAAATGGAATATAAATTGCAATTATANAGATTGGAGATTGATCGTTCTCTGGTTCAGGTCAAAATTGCTGTCTGTGGATGAATGAATGTATGTATCAATGGATCCGCCTAAGGCTCCTATACTATCAGAGCTGACCTATCAAGCAATATTGGAGCAAACAAGTTCGCAAGTTAAAGTTATATTATTACAGAAATGCCAACTGCTCTGGATACTCCAAAATAATTTAAAAAAAAGTAAATAACTACTAAGCAAATTTTGCAGAGTTGACAATAATTGCTTGCTTTTTAAAATGTAAAGCATGTAATGAGTACTATAAAGTGGTGAATTATATAAGCCTACGCATTGTTTAGAAATAGTGGTGGATTTAAATCTACTAAATCGGACTTATTAAACCAAGAATTACAATTAATAAACTACCACTTGAAAATATTTATTCGCTGTGCCTCTTTGCTCCAACAATAAATGATAAGTCGGCCTGTCTAATTCAGGGGCTCTAGATCCGCCCTATAAACAGGTGTGACGTTTGTGATATTACAACTGTCAATAAATTGTCAGGAATATTTTACTTTTTACTAAAACTAAAAAAAAAAAAAAAGAAATGATTTCACTACCAGTTTTTTCTCTTTACCGGATTACAATCAGATGTGTTAACTGCTGGCAATTGAAGCTTGCCTAAATTGATATTTCGCTTACACTTTAAACGTTGTTGGGAACTAGGATTTCTGGGTTAGCATCGACGAGTTTCTAAAACATTTTGAAAAAACTACCTATCTACTAAATCCTATTTAATAATGCTTGAATTATTATTGATATACAATGTAGTGTAAAACAATTTTTGTTTGTAACAACAAATTTAAAATTTCTAAATTAAATTTTAAATTTGATCGTGGATGAATACATAATACAGAATGGAAGACATGCAGTCCTTAGCCATATTATTCGACGCACTATATGATTCTATGTAAAATCTTAATTATTAGGTGATACTTTACAGCTTTATTGTTTTCACGCGGCTGAAACCGTTTTGTACTTGTTTANAGATTTTTTTTACACTTTCTATTCGCATTAATATATTATTTTTTTAACGTATTACATTACAATGTTAACTAATTGATACACGAACATAAACAAGTACAAACCGGTTTCAGCCGCGTCAAAACAATAATGCTACGTAGTATCACCTGATAATTAATATTTTACATAGAATCTTATAGTGCTTCTAATAATATAGCCAGAGACTGTAAATGTCGCTGAGACAAATTTTTCTCAATAACTGTTCGTAAAAATTAGCTATGGTATAATACCATGATAATCAATAACCCATGGTCCTTAGAAAAATTCCAATGTTTAAGTCTTGATGGAAAAGCGTGCGCATATAATAATAACAATCCTCGACAATTCATAACATAGGAATTCCACTCTCTACCTATAATGCGATCCTTTGATATATAATTTTCACATTTATTAGTTTTTAAACTACCACTTTTAAAAAAATATAAATATTATCAATATATGATTCAATTAATTCTGATGCAATCATGCTTAGGGTACACTAGATTTTATTAAATACTCACTAGCTTGAAAAATAGCAAGTGATGGGAAAAAGAATAGTTGCAATAAAGTTTATCTCCTCGCAAGACGGTAGGGCGATCAATTAAGTCAGTGGTGGGGAAACTTTTTTTAAGACGGGCCATTTGTAATAACTAGACAATCGTAGCGGGCCAAAGAATAATGCTTAATCGTTAAAAAATTTATGTGTTCTATAAACATATACATATATTATTACATACACTTATTATTTTAATAGTAAAAAAGCAAAAGGTAATAAAATTATAAGCACAAAATATAAAATGAATTTAGTGTAGTTCTTGATGTGAAGTATTATCACTTTATTTTCTGGTGTCATTACTGGTTGATGGTGCATGAGAAAAATGGAATTGAGACTGTTTCTTCAAAATTTCATCATAGTCCGGTTCCATTTGCGAAGAAGAAATTCTTAAAACTGATGAAAGGTGCTCATCTGTAATTCTGTTCCTTAAAGAAGTTTTCCTAAGCTTCATTGTTGAAAAAATTTGTTCGCATATATAAGATGAGCCGAACATTGTCATTATCTTCATTGCATGAGTAATTAGATTTGGGAAATTATCTGGACTTAAATTTTTATAAAATTCTAATAATGGTACTGTATGAAAAATTTGTTTCAGGAGAGTATTACAGTTCAGTTCTATTAACTCAAGTTGAAATTTTGCATCAACTTCTTCGTAATTAACATTTAATGGGGTCTCAAAAATACTGAACTCTGGTTCCATTTTTCTAAAGTCCTGAAATCTCCTTTCAAATTCTGAAGATAGTTTTCTCAAATTAATTTCGTATTTTTTAATCTTATTGTTTGATATAGTGAATTTTAAAGATTGTATTCTTGAAAAATGAGAAAAATCAGATTTAGAGATCTGATTAGCAAATAATAATAACAACTGTAATTTGAAACTTTTCAGGTATTGCCAAATATCGTGAAGAAACTGATTTTTCCCTTGCAATTTGAAATTAAGTATATTCATGTGTACGAGGAGGTCTGTGAAAAAAGCGAAATCAGAAAGGCACGTTTCGTTTTCTAAGACGTCAAATTGATTATAAATGTCTTTATCAAGAAGAAAATTCACAATATCGTCTTTTAAATCCCAAATTCTTTCAAATACTTTTCCAGCACTTAACCAACGAACTTTTGAATAATACAGGATATCGGAATGCTCAGCATGTACGGACTCCAAAAACTGTTGAAACTGGCGATGTAATAATCCTCTGGAACGAATCATATTTACTAGTTTTACAACAATATTAAGTATATGGTCAATATCTAAAGCCGATTTACAGAGAGCATCCTGATGTATAAGGCAATGCAAAAAAACAACATCATTTTCCGGATACTTAGAATTAAATTTCCCAACAAATCCTTGATTGATTCCAACCATATTAGGAGCACCATCTGTAGTTACATTACATAACTTATCAATAGGTAAACGAAGTTTATCGATGCAATTTTCAAATTCACAAAATATATCGGCACCAGTCGTTGTTCCTTTCATTGACTGCAGCCCTGCAAGTTCTTCTGTAATTTCAAAGTGGGCGTTGATTCCTCTTACAAATATGAGTAACTGTGCAGTATCGCTGATATCTGTACTTTCATCCATGGTAATTGAATAAAAAATAAATTTTTGAGTTTTTGTAGTCAGTTGTGAAATTAGATTTTTATCAATATTTTCAATTCTCTCGGTGATTGTTCTTCTTGAGAGAGACAGTGACTGAAAATCATTTTTCTTTTCAGGGCTCATAATATCGCACACATCTATCATGCACTGTTTTATAAATTCACCATCTGAAAATGCTTTATTAGATTTAGCAGTATTATAAGCCAACACATAACTCGCTTTCGTAGCGCATCTTTGAGAATGATTAGCTCTCTGAAATAATTGGTGTTGACTTGATAAATTTTTTATTAAATCTTTCGATTTAATTTTTTTCACCTCTTCACTTAACGATGAGTAGGAGTGGTTTTCATGTTTGCTCTTGAAATGGCGTTGAATGTTATATTCTTTTAAAACTGCAACAGTTGTATTGCAAAGTAAGCACACAGGTTTTTCTTTAAATAAAGTAAAGAAATATTTCCACGTCCATTCTTCTTTAAAAAGCCGACATTCTGAATCCACTTTTCTTTTTTTAACATCCATTTTAGACGTTATCTACTACGGAGAACAACACACAGAAACGCAATTGACGAAAGCTTACTGCTGACTAATGCTCTTGCGCGGGTGTTTGCGCAGGTCCTCTGAAAATGAAATTATAATTTTATTAAACTTTTATAACGTTTATACGAAAATTGTAAAGCAGTTAGAAGCAAAGGAAACAAGAACTAGAGCAGACGCAAATCGCGAAGCTTTTTGGTTGTGATTGGTCAATTCATTTTCAAGTGACGTCACAGTACCCTCCTCTTTGGATATTCATGGGCAAAATTCTGTATTCATGAAATTAAAATAGTTCTTCAATATTTTGATAACTGTCAATTAATGGCCTATTATATTTTGGAGAACTTCGTGAATTTATATTTCCCAGGCAAGATTGAGTTCTATTTTGGAAGATTAAAATTGCAACTCGAGTGTAGGAACGAAAATCAGTTTAGAACTGCTTTTGAGTCTTCGGCCCACGGACTATTGAGGCAGTGGGAGTTTCGGGGATTACACAAACAATTACTCGAGTCACAGCGGGTCGTTGCAGATGACTGACTAAGTCGCTAACTAACTGATCTTCGCGCGGCCTCGCTTGTATTTATACCTACCTGCAAGGATTGTTCGGAAATTGGATTTTTCCGGTTCTTTCGAGAAAACAGAACAATGAATCGAAAATACGAGAGTGTCTGAAAGTTTCGAGCGAAGATGAGTCATCTGTTTAGGTCGGATGGATTTGTCCAGAATACTATTGTGTTTTGAATATCGCCGCAGGTAGTTTTTATGCGGGTCGTCACATTACGAAGTAAGAACGCGTTCAAACATTCTCACGACGGCACTTTTAAACGGGCGGGATTAAACCTTTCCGCGGGCCGGACTTGGCCCGCGGGCCGTAGCTTCCCCATCACTGAATTAAGTAGTTATACCGTTTCATTAATTCTTAACTATAAATTGCTCTGCTTTCTACATATTTTGTAATAAATTGCTAGCGAATTAAACGGTAAAACTTAGAGAATAATTACGCCTACTCGTTTAAAGAGCAACCATGAGATGAATGCAACTAAGTTGTATTTCATCTGATAATTCGAGTTCTCGATATGTAATGTTTGAAAAAATTTCTTAAAATAAATAATACGAGGAACAGTCGTAGACGTGCGCTATTACTGTTAAAAAACCTTGGTAGTCATGGATATTTTATTCTTTCCAAAAACAAGTGAAATGAAATTTTTTTTTTTTACCAGTTTGTTCTTTTTACCATCTTGATGTATACAGACCTACAGCATTGCATCCTGCTACAACTGTTATTGGACGCGAATATTACACTAGAAATTGTAAAATGGCCGATAATAATGAGAAACTATTTTCTGTTCCAGTTGCAAGGGATTTTTGAACAGATCTTAGTTATTTTCGCGTCGCTTATTCCAAAACTGCAATCGGTAAATTTCAACAAGCTACAGTTTTTATGCAATTCAATAATATATTCTTCAACAGGATTTTTTTTTAATTCACTCAAGTAAATACTAAGTGTCTCCACTTCTCTGTAACGTAAGGCGTGGTAGGAAGAAGGTGATAATACATTTCTGTTCACTTTAAGGCAATAATTTTGTCTTAAGTGTTATTTTCAAAGATGCATACAAATCTATATAAAACTATAACTTCTTAATAAGCGCTTGTGGACTCATTTAAAAAATAAACTACACTAAAAATATCATTTTATATTTTTTTTAAAAAATTGTAGCTTTTGGAATAAAATTAATTTCCGATTTGAAATCCTCTCATTTGAATTAGGTAAGATCAAGTAATTGTGTAAGAGCAATATAAACCTGTTTCCCAGCATAATGAATTTCACGTTTTTTTTGTCAAATATTTCCCAATAGCAGTGAACTAAGCAGATACTATTTACAAGTTTAAAGAAAATATAAGAGTTATAAACTAGAAAGCTTTTCACAACTATGAAAATATACCTTAGTAAATGTTTTGACTAACTACTATACAAACTTCACTAGCAATTATAAACATTATATTATGCTTATCAGCCCTTTGTTGTTGCTGCCGTCGGTCACTAATGCAAAAGGGGTGCGATTGTTCTTGTTTTCCAGTGGCACCATCTGTGGCCAAGAATTCGACTTCTGCCACACCCATACGTCACACCCGTTTATAGGAAGGACCCATTCATACATCCAAAGATCGCAATTTTGACCTGAACCAGAGAACGACCAATCTCGAATTCAGTACCCCCCCCAGATGAATTGATTTGTGATAGAAACATGGAAGACTTTGTGACCCGACAGATTTAGTTTGCACTGGTCACCATTAACTACAAGGAGAGTTTTCGGTCGGCTGGTTCGAAGTCCAGCATCCTGCCAACCAGGCTATCACGACCTAAGCTCTTTATATGTATGATATAAATAGTTAAATATTTTTTTTAAAAGTAAATATGAGTAAAAAGTAAAAGTAAAAAGTTTTAAAAGTAAAAGTAGTATTTTAATTTCAGGATAAAAAAAAATTCTACCCCGTAAAACTATTAAAATTTTTTAGTCTTTTTGAGATAGGTAGATTAAAACTATTTATCCGTCTTTGTGGCCAAAATTCAAAAATTCAATCAAAATCCAATCAAACAACATTTCCTACAGTTGGAAAAAAATCTATCGAAGTAATGGAATATTTTTAGTAATTAAAAATATTTAATAAGTCATAACGTGATGAATATTGTTTGAACAATATATATGTTAGTTTTTAAACATACCTGCTTGGTTTGAGTGATATCATTCTTTAAACTAAATGCTTCAGTTTCTGAATATGTAAAAGTGGCCTCTGCATTTTTTTCAGCTGAAAAGATAAAATGATTCATCAAACTTTCAGCTATGAACGAATTGAATAATTAAAAACTAAATTTCAATAATATTTCTGAAATAGGATCATAAAAATGATATAAAAATAATTAAATAGTATTTCGTAGTATTGAATTATTTTTATATCATTTTCAAAATAATTCAATAAACGATGTATAAAAATTTTAGCAGGAAGATCATTACTCTTTCCTAAAACTTTAAGAGAAATTAATAAGTTAAATAAAAAATAACAGCCTCTTTTTCATTTAACTTTATCACTGAATTAGGTATAGTAATTCTTGAGAATTAGCGTTGTGAAGTAATATTATTCTTAAAATAGATGTAATGTAGTACTGCTATTCTGAAAATCAGTGTAATTAAGTACTCTTATTCTTAAAATCAGTGTAGTGAAGTACGGTTATTCTTAAAATCAGTGTAGTGAAGTACGGTTATTCTTAAAATCAGTGTATTGAAGTATTGTTATTCTGAAAATCAATGTAATGAGGTGTTATTCTTAAAATCAGTGTAATGAAGTACTTTTATTTTTAAAATCAGTGTAGTGAAGTACGGTTATTCTTAAAATCAGTGTAATGAAGTATTGTTATTCTGAAAATCAATGTAAAGAAGTGTTATTCTTAAAATCAGTGTAATGAAGTACTTTTATTTTTAAAATCAGTGTAGTGAAGTACGGTTATTCTTAAAATCAGTGTAGTTGAATACTGTTATTCTTAAAATCAGAGTAATGAGGAACTGTTTTGCTTAAAATCAATATAATGAAGCATTACAATTCTTAAAATTAGCGCAATGAAGCATCAATGATGGAGAAATCTAGCATCTGATCGAGTCAGATAAAAATTCTGTTGGCAGAAGAAATTTTACAACAATTAAGGGAATTTTTAATTTAACGTGGTATAGCATTTTTTAAGAGTAGTAATGTAGGTGTTAAAAATTTGGGTGCAATAATATAAAACTGTAGAGATACGATTTGTACTTCATCCAATTTGAATAACGCGCATTACAAGTAATTAAAACCATTCATTTCTTTAACTAAGCAATTTGAGCTATTCTTTCAAACACGCAATTCTACTTTCATCAAAGCTCATTTTCAGTTTTTTCATATTTTCAAACCCCATATGCTATTTTATTTTGTAACCAGCATTGAACAACCGATCCAATTCAGAGTTTACGACTATCAAACTTTAACTTCATAGCCTTGTAATTCTGAACCCAATCCAGAAGACACGGGAAATCCTGGATTAAGCTTCAGGACAAACTAGCTCTCGTTGAGGACTTTTTTATGGAACTGACCAGTATCGGCGTTATATGGACAGGAAAACCATGAAAGCTTCCCGGTTAACCGAACAGCAATTTACGTCAACATAGTGGTTGGTGAAAGCCGGTAGCAAAACTCATATTAACCATTCATCGCTGGGATTCGAACCTGGTCACCTCATAGGTAGTCAAACGCTCTATCCCCTGAGCCACCGCGGAGATACCTATATGCTATGTTCATTTCCTAAACACGTCATAGTTACATCTATATTTTGAATGCACATTTTAAGCTATGTGCAAAAATCAAAGCACCTTGGGGCATTGCATTCGGGAGGAAGAATTTGAATGGGGACATAATTTTAGAACATTCAAAGGGAGAAAATTATTTTTTTTTAACCAAAATTAATGCAATCTCTTCACTTAAAATAATTAATTCATCGAGGAAAGTTATTGTTAAAACATCAACATAATATAGAAGAATTACCTATAGATGGCGGTATAGGTATGACAGAATCCGTGTAAGAATATGATTTTACAATTAAAGCTTGACCTTCCAGCCTCTGTGCCCATCTACCTCTTGGCTGTGGAGGAGTTGGTGATGTTTGACCAGAGTTCTTCCAATCATCCGATATCTGTAAAAATGAAATCGTGAAATTTGATTCTTTAAAACTTGGCCAAAAAAAAAGAGAGTGACAATTATCTATTAAGTTATGTTAATACTAGGCTGCAATTTTATTTAAATTTAAACGAAAAAAAGTTAGCCACTAGGTTGCAGTAGCAATTGCGTGCTTACAGAGAAGATTTTGTAACAGAGAACGTGAGTGAGTGCCAAGTAAGCCTGAGAGGTAGAACGATGTAACAACTTATTGTTGGTAAATAAATTATAAATATGTTACGATTATCAATCTCTCACTTCCTGCTCCCTCCACCCAAGCTACGCGACATCTGAGAACGGTATAGCCAACAGTTTATACCAAATGGATATTTTGTTCAGTTATCTACCATTTTAGTTTCATAAAAGTACTGTGCTTGATTTCAGATCGTAATAAAAATACTAATATTTTAAATTTATTATGCTTCTTAGAACTATCTTATGAAATATTACTGCTACTCCCTTTTTTTTCTAAAAAAAAAAGAAGTGACTTCTTAAAAGAATTAATGGATCAATGTATTGTTTGAAAGAAGTTATTTAACAGATGTAACCTTTTCGAACTTACTGTCAGGTAGACGTGCCAGCATGAAACGTTCGCAATCAGTATTAAAAAGATGAAACTGATAACCAAACTATTTCTTTAGCAACTATGAACGGGGCAATTATTTAAGTCACTACTACTTAGTTCAAAACAAAAATTATATAACTATTCTTTGAAAATTAACATTAATTTGTAAGGCTGCTAACATTCTACGCTTTTTGGGAAAATTTGTTTTGGTGGTAACTAAGTTTATGCTTTAAGGCATGATTCTTTGTTTTGTAAATTTGATTTAAAGATATTTTCAACACCACTGCATTATAGAATTTAAAAAAATCATATCAATACTTTGTCCTTACTCTTTTATGATATGGGTTTTAAAATGTTGGCACAGTTACCAAAAATTCTGAAATTATCCGTAAAAAGCATAGTAGTTGACCTCTTTGGACTAGATGTGATAAAATTAAAAGAAAAGCAGAATAAGTCTGCTAAATTAGTCATGCCCACATTTAAGTTAGCGTTTCTAATTTCTGTTCGATCTTGATTCTGAAAGTGTATGAATGCATTTATGACACGATCGTCTCGGAAAAGTCAATATAAGTCCTTTCCCCCGAACCATAAGCATTGCATCATAGTATCTGAAATTCTGATCACTAGATTAAAGGTTATTAGAGTGTACGATTTCATTTTGAGTACTGTTCAATATGTCTCTGATTTATTCCTTAAATGTGCTAAGTTTGTAGATAATAGGCTATAGATATATTTGATAGATAGATAGGGATTAAGCTTAAATCCTCCTTATCGGGTTTCTTTCCTATTCTGTAATGCAAGATATGTTTATTGTTTGGGATTAACCCGTTAATACCAATGTATAGACCCCAAAATGTGGTCTATACAAGAACGTGGAAGTTCATATTTGTTTTAATCAAAAGGATCTTTAGATCTGTTATTTACCACTTAAGCTTTTAAAAGCTTGCTATGCTATGACTTCAGATCTATATATAAATATTTACATCATTGATATATTGCTGTAGACAGAACTATCTTGCTTATGAAAAATAAATTCTAGTAATGTAACACGTGTGGCACCACATTTTTCTTTTTTTGAAAAAGGAACCATTCCATTAAAAAGGGGCTAGGCACAAAAATGCTAAATATTTTTTAAAAATTTATTTCCAATGCCCAGCTGTGTTAATATTTCGCCAATTCAAGCAGTTAATAACGCAGATTTGTAAGCAACTCTTTCAGGGGCACCATATTGCTCCCACAGTAAGGACATTTAGTACAGAGAATGAAAGAACATCCATGCCTTGCTCGGGATTGGAACCCAGAACCTTTTCGATGCAAGGCTAGCTCCCTGACCCCTATGCAGTTCGGTCGGCAAAATTTTAAATATTAGAGGAAGGGAAAAACTTTTCAATTATTGCTTTTAGGTATATAAGATATTTTTAAATTTCTTGCCTGTTTTTTTGCCCATGATGGCAAAGGACCATCCCCAAAATCTAGTGTAGGTCCCTTGTTGTCGTTAGGAATGTTATTACTCTGTAAAGGCTTGGTAACAGCAACAGAATTTTTTCTAAAAAAAAGATTTCAAGTTATATACCATAGTTCATATAATATAAGAATATATATTAAGAGTTTTACATTGTTTTCTATTATCTAAAAAAAGTGCATTGCAAGTTATACATTATTTTATATTATAAAAAATATATAACGGCCATTTATGCATTGTTTCATGGCGCATAAAAATATAGACATTGTGAGTTAGATATTGTTTTACATCACATAAAAACATATAAAAATGATTAATACCTTGTTCAATGTTACACAAAGAAATTGCGCGTTATGCATTGTTTATTACAAAAACTCAAGAAAATCGNATATATATATATAAACTACGATTATTATGAATATATTATTGCTACAAAGGGAATAACGATGAATGCTTACACAAAATAGGAAATAGTTATTTACAACTGTAAATTTGTAACAGAAAAAAATTATCTCAAAATAGTTTGATACTTGTGCAGCGCTACCAGTTTATAATGTTATAAAATTTTCAATAGGGACTTACTGAACAAAATTAAAATTCAAGCTAATATCAATCAAATAATTGTTACAGCAACAATGCAATAAATACAGTAGAACCTCTCTCAATCGATCATTTCTCATAGAACCATTCTTTGCTAACAATTTATACGGGAAATCGAAAAAAGCGAGCCTGAATTAAATAATAATTAACCCCTTGCTTACGGTGTTCCGCGTTGTACCATCACATATGGACCACATGTTGTACTAGCCGAAAGAAAAAGGTTAATGACTTGAAAATGTAGAAAACCACAAACGAAGGCAAATTTCTCCTAAAAACTTGATCCAGGAGTTCCCTTGTCTTCCGGATTGGGTTCAAAATTACAAGGCTACGGTGTTCACCATTAGTAGTCGTAAACCCAAAATTGGATTTGCTGTTCAACGACGGTTATAAAATAAAATAAAAAAAATATAAAAAATAAATAAATAAAAAAAAATAAAATAAAATAAAATAAAATAAAATAAAATAAAAAGCATTTTCATCAACTGATACATGAACATCAGATATGCTGTTTCACAATAACTGAAACAAATCCTTATTTAAACCATCATTAGTATCAGGAGTTACTATTTTTCTTTTCAAAATGAAAAGATTGGTGTTTTTAAAGTTGATGATTGTTTTTAAATGCCGAGGAAATTTCTAAACGATAATCACCGGAATCCGTTAGTTTTCAAAACAATTTAGACTGGTATTATTAACATTAAAAGCATAGCATTTTGACGGGACCGTTAATACAAGTACGGGAAAACGAAAGATGCGTTAACGATTGATAGAGGTTCAAATGAAATGATACAATTTATAAAAATAATAATGCAATAAATTATTAAAAATTTACTTTGAGTCTTGCCAAATACCCGATGATATGGGAAGATTAATGGTTTCTCCAGCTTTGTTCAGCAACTTAGAAGATTGTAAAGTAAGTTTCCATACAAAGATACACCTATGCAACAAAAATAGAAAAAAATTATACAAAACAATGCATTTAAATATCACCGTAGTTGCCTACCCTGCTACGGAATTCCCGGGGTTTTATTTCTTCTAATGGTAGCAAAAGTAATTTAATATTTTAATAAATTAGAATTAAAAGAATTTTACTTACCACTTGGCTATAAATTTAAGAAAGTGTATGAAATTTCATACGTTTGAATTATTTTCCTAAATAAAAAATTCTACGATGAAGCAAAAACCTGTACCACCAGCAATTTTAACTCACTCCTAGATATAGAACTAATTGACGGCAACACTAAATTTAGCCCCATCACTGCCTTTTTCCTTAGGGATATGTTGCCCTAGCACACGAAATACACTTAGCCCCAGCCGAGTCACACGAACCAACTCTCGATTTTTTGGTGCTAAGCACCCCCTCTTCCTCCCATCTCCATTTCTCCTCACTACTCCTCATCATCGATTTATTACTACAGATGAATCGGTTAATGCCGCTTCGCGGCAGCGCACCGAGATTTATGTGATTTCTACCATTCTACCGAATTATGTTCCTATGCTAAACGGCCAAATTTCTACATTTTCTGTAAACTTTTATTCCAGTGGAAGCTAGGTTTATATTTTAATTTATTATTTTTTATTCATTAAAATTTATAAATACATCACCACCATCAACTACTACGCTTTTTGCAAAATATTTTATAGAATGGTTGTTATTTTAAAACCAAAGCTTTCAGAAATTTTGGAAATTTTACCAACATTTTAAAAGCCTTACGATGAAAGAGCTGGGACAAGGTGGCGTTGCATATGAACTTTTAAATAATTTATATGCAGTGATGTGGAAAATAAATTTAAATGAATAAAAAATAATACGTAAAACATAAACATAGCTACCACTAGAATAAAGTCTTACAAAAGCCATAGAAAGTTGGCAGGCCTGTACTACATGTAAATGATTTAAAAGTTCATATGAGCGCCACTTTGTTCCAGCTCTCTCGTATTCAAACTTTAACATGTTGGCAAATTTCTGAAAGCATTGGTTTTTAATTGTATACCACTTTATAAAATGTTTTGCGTAAAGCGTGGCAGTTAGCAGGTCTACTGTCAGGGATGACACAGACAACTACAAATGTAAAAGATGGTTGTAGCTCAATTTATTTTCATTTCTTTTATTATTCAATAAGAACTACCAATACGATTTAAATTTCAAATTATTTAAAATTAGATCAAAAACATTGTTTACACCCTGAACTCAGATATTTACAAAAACTACACGCATACCTGCCAACTCTTCCGGATTTTCCATAAGATTTTATTTTCATAATTAAAGTGGTAGCAATACTCAGGTTATTCCAATTAACGTTTTGAATTATAATGATAATTTTAAATGAGTTTGACCACCACTACATATAAATAATTACAATAAATATATGAAAGCATAATAATCCTTGCGTAAGCGAATTTCAACGGGATCAAAATATAAACATATTTTTGAGTCAGATTGTTTTTCGTTTATTGTTTTACAACCACTCCGAAAATCCATTCTCGGACAGAGTGAAAGTTGGCAGGTATGCTACACAGCCAACACTCTGATCATTTTTGCTTACGCCATTAATCTGAGGCACATACGATATCATCACTTTTCAAGTCAAGTGTTCATACCCTCTCAACATTAAATTGAAAAGAAAAAAAATGCTATAAAAAGTTGCTACTAAGATTTAGTCTTGCTAATAAGATCTCTTTAAATAAAATTTTGAGCCTTATTAAATACCACTTTTTTGTAATTTTAATCGCCGTTGCAACCATTTCGCAATTTAATCGCCGTTGCAAACAATCTTAAAATGTTTGTTTTAAATTTCTGATTCAAGTTACTACCCTTTCTGAATCTGAAACAAAAGAGAACATCTTTCAATTTTGAGAAAGAAACAAGACTAGCGACAAGTCTCTGCCCATCATTCGTATACCAAGTCTGCTTGAAAACTTAATAAGTTTTTTTAAGGTCCCTTGAAGCAGCACTTTGTAGACTCAGAACAGGTCACCTTTATGGGGGGCATGAGTTTTGAAAAAGGAATGAAAACCTTTCCCTCCGTGCTCTACCTGCAACATCCCAGCACTTCCTGGGCTGCCTCAACATTATTGTGGGGGATCTATTCCTAAAAACATCAATGGTTGCTTCAAAGAAAATGAGACATTTGCAGAATTTCAAGAACCTGGATTAGAGCAACTCAATACCACGTGGATAAGTCCCACAACCACTACCATTAAAAAGATTTCAAACGTTGTTGTCATTGGCCATTGGGTGCGATTGTTCTTGTTTTCCAGTGTTTAATTTCATGGTGATACTTTTAAGATTAGGCGTGATTACACTTATTCTACAAATTTTACTCTTTAATTCGCTACCAATTTATAAAAACTTTTACAGAAAACGAAGCAGTTTGGCTACCCGCAATAGAAAAATATTTCTTGTTTTTCGATTTTTTAAGAAATATTATTACACTGATACATACCTGCCAACTCTTCCGGACTTTCCGGAAGATTTTATTTTCATATTTAAAGTGGTAGGAAATATATACTATTTTTTCTTTTATAAACTTAATTTTTAAATGATTTTGATCACCACTATTCTTACAAAAATTAAGCACATATGCGTTACTATCATGGTTGTCAACTTAAGTTTTCTCAAATACAACGTGTTTGTTTGCCTAAAATTGAAGTCTTAATTCCATTTTAATACCACTGGGAAAAATTATAATGGAAAGGATTAAAAGTTGGCAGGTATGCTGATATATCTTGTCCCAAAGTCCATATAAATGGGAAGTTATGCTTTTGAGATCTCAGGTTTTTCAGTAAAAGTTATTATGCCTGTTCTGCTACTTAATATACGACACTAAAATTTCAGGATAAAAATTTATTGAAAGAAAAAATTTTCTGTTTACCCGTCTCCTGAAACAGAAATAAGGTGCTTCCCGGATGGCATAAATTTCAAGCCCGTAACTAGTTCCGAATGTCCCGCCATTGATGCAACACACTGACCAGTCAAATAGTCATACACATATATAGTTTTATCCGTTGAGCTGGTGGCAACATACGTTCCCGTGGAATCAATAGCCACCTATAAAAAGAAGAAGCAAGATTTAAATGATAATTGTGAAATAATCTGAAGTAAAACTTTGAACCTATAATTTTATATAAATTTAGCCAGCGTTTCGATCATTACCAATTAATAATATTCATGTAATTCAAATATTCAACGAAGATTTTTTCATCGAAGTTAGTAAGTTCATATTACGTCTGGTTCACAGAAGTGGGCTAAGCAGTTATCGAAATGACATCTGTGATTTATTAATGACTGAAAAATTGTAGCTTGTTCAAATGAATCACGATTTTAGCTGATCAGAACTGATGTGAGAGTTCATGTACGGCACAGACCACACCAAGCTATGGACCCAAGTTGTCAACAACTACTGTGCATCTGGTAGTAGCTCCACAATGGTCTAGGCTGCTTTTCATAGTGGGTCCTATGGTCCGAATGCACAGATCATTGACTAGAAATGGCTATGTTCAGTTACATGGAGACCACCTTTACCCATTCATTTTAATGTGAAGAATCGATTGTTTTTATTGTTTTATGAATAAGCCTTACAGTTAGGTTTGATGTCAGGTCGGTGAATTCACAGGTTCGAGGTCAGGAGCAACTCTTAGTTTTGATTTTTTTTTTTTTGGCATATGCGTAAATTGAATAAAATAAGCGGAATTACGGCTTTTGAAAAAGAACTGTTGTAAACAGCGAGATCAATTAATAGAGATACATATTTTTTTTACTCTTGACTTTAGTTATTTTGAATTGAAAAATTTGATGAGATGCATTATTCGTAAATGCACAAATATTATATGCATAATAAATTTAAAAAAAAAAACCTCAAACACTTCTGTTACCTTTCCGCGGGAACATCTTTTGGTAACCACTGCTTAAGAGGTCATTATCAACATTATTCCTTATTGAACATTTTTATAAACATGTTACTTTATTTAAATAGTGTAAATATAATATGCCATCATTTCTCTTAAGTATAGACTTATATGAGAATCTTCAAGCAAAACTATGCAATACCGTGTGAATAAACGATTCTTGAGTCTATATTTATTTTTAAAAATGATACACATCATTGACCATGCGATAACTTTTTCTAATCGCATGCTCTTTGTCATTGTTTTTAACGCCTTACATGCATTTTAACTCTATCATAAATTCTATTCCTTTCGTCTTTTATTGAAGCTTTTCGATATTACGAAGTATTTTAAATGAATGTTGATGTCAGTTAAAGCTTGCTGTCGTAATTTTTTTGAATGAATAGGAAGCTCAACTCCCTACTCGCTCTACTCACCAAACTTCGTAATTGCTTCTCATTGCTGTTTCTTTTATTTTCTTTACTTAACAAGTTAAATGCCATGAGGGTCACCGGTGATCGGCACTGAGTTTGTCCGTAGCGTCACCGATGACCGGCGAAGCCAAAATTATTAGAAACACATAATTCGAGTAAATTTTTAATGCTTTTAATTATTTTATATTATTATCGTTACTAAAATGCAATATAGAACACACACAAATAGTTTTATTTATATACACAGCGATGCCAACTTGCTCCGGACAGCGAATAAATATTTTCAAGTGGTAGTATAAATATTTTAATTGTGATTCTTGGCTTAATAAGTTCAATTTAGTAGATTTTTATCCACCACTATTTCTAAACAATTTGTAGGCTTCACCACTCTTCTCGGCAATGTCGTGCTAAATCATTTCAAAAACTAGCAAAATCTGTCTAATATTAGTAAATTTAGTTTGCAGTTATTTTCCGTTTGGCTAGGCGGACAAGCCATGTGAAATTAGGGTGGCATTCAACGTTTTAATGTTAATATTTTCCACATAAACACAGAACATTTTAATATTAACTAGGAGGCTCCGCCTCCTGCTCGCTAACGCTCGCCAACCCCCGAGAATTGCTACGCAATCCTATGTGGTTCACGCCGTGAACCATGGCTCGCTGCGCTCGCTCGCCAATGAACACAATGTTCTAGCACAAAGACATAATATATTATCATCAAAGACATAGTATTTTATCATCAAAGACATAGTATTGTACTTATGTAGAAGAATTCTACCAATGTTCTTATTGGCTTTTAAAAAAGTATATTAGCTATTTAGATTGTACATGGTGAAAAAATCAAAACATTAGCTAAATAAGAAACATAT